TAAAATAATTAATTTCCAAAACAACCCAAGTTTAGTTTGTTTATTGTTCTAAAAAAAAAAATTTTTAAATGGATAAATTACAAATACACCCCTGAGGTTTGCTTAAAATAAAAATTGTCCCTTATAGTTTGAAAAATTACAAATACCTCCCCGTCAGAATTTTTTATTTAACAAAATTAATTAAAAAAGTTAAATTTCTAGCTGTTTACCAATGCAATAATAAAATCATCTGAATTATTAATTGAAATAAAATTTTAACATAATTAAAAACTATTAATTAACTTGATGATTTATTAATAAACTGACCTATTTATTATGAAATTAAAAACCTTAAGAGACATAATGTAATTTTTAGAACTATAAAGGTAATTTGTAATTTAAGTAAATCATAAGAGATGTGTTTATAATTTACCCTAAAGAAATTAAAAGAAACTAGAAAATCCCAATAAATACAAGATAAGACGCACGTGTAGGTGAACTTCCCACTAAATTGTAGAGATTCTGACCAATGGGTCGTTCTCATTGATTAATCTAATTCGCGTTGTTAACTAATTCAAATTCAAGGAATAAAGTAGGCAAATTTGGCCAAAATCCCTCGACATAGTTTTCTAGTGATAAAAATACATCTTAATACTTTTTATGCATGAAGTTATTCAAAATGGATTTCTTATGCAATAAGAACACAAATATCGTTTAATTGCTTCTGTTTTTATTACGATTTTGCCCTTTTTCTATATTCAACCAAAACTTTTTATTGAAAACACCATGTAGATCATTTGCAACAACCTTATCTTCAAGTAAGAAGGGTTTCCCCATTCATGGTGCGTCCTAATTTGATTGTTGTTTTTCTTCTGATTGGATTGTGACAAGGAAGTTTTTAAGGGGCTATTCAACGATGGTCGGCAAGCAATGATGTTGAATGGAGAGTTGCAAAGATCCATCATGAAAATTTTGGACGACAACTACTACAAATCTAATAGCACTGTGTTCTTGTGTTTTTTCATTGGCAAAGGCAACACTGTACGTGGAGCTTAACAAAGAGGGTGGGAAATTAGGAATACTGAAGGTAAAATTATATTAAATTTCATAGCATTGAGAAATATAATTTTATGATATATATTTCAATAGTGAAATTTTAATACAATTTTTTCTTTTTAAATCTAGAATTGAATTTTATAAAATTGTGTTGGTGAAAATATCAGAAGAATTATATTTTATTGATAAATAATGTAAAGAAAATGAGATACAAATAGATCAGGCTAAGGCACGGATATCTCTGTTTCTTAAAGGAGATTAAGCCCACTGCGGTAGGAAGAATCCAAATACTGATGCAGCAGTCACAAAACTATGATTTGTTCCTTCCAGGATACAACAGACCGACCACTTGTCGTATGGTTTAGGCCAACTCTGCACAAGATGATAAACCCAAAACTCCACCAAGAAAAACACCTTCTTTGCTAGTAATTTCTCAAGTATAAATAATAATTGGTGTAGATGAGAGGAACTATTTATAGGCCACTAAGACCTTACAATTCATACCAAAAATAATAATAGTCTAGTATAATGCTAAATTTTATAAATGTTTCTCATTTATTCACACTTATTACATTATTAAAAAAAAATTGGTGGCATGAGGGATGGTAACGGCTTGGGTTTTTTCGAGTTTTGTACACCTCTACTATTTTAATGATACGGTTTCATACTTTACCCTAATATTGACAGTTTTTACCTACATACCCATATACTTTACCTTGCCTTATTAATACTCTCCAAACTTTTTTTTTATTAAAATCAAATTAGAACAAATATAATTGAGTCGGATAATTTTGCCACGTGACACTTGTTACACAATTATTAAAGTAAAATATTGTTTTGGATTTTAAAATTTCTTTATTACTACATTACATGACACACCAATTGTTATTAATAAGAAAAGTTTGTAAAAAAAATTAAGCCTCATTTGACAATCTTGAAATAAATAATTTTTGCCAAAAAAGTTAAAAGTAAAACATTTGTATGGTTATGTTAAAAATATCAATTGTTTTTGGAAATGTCAATCAGTGTGTTTGGTTTGAGTTTTCTAGATCAAGTTTACCTTGCCTTATTAATACTCTCCAAACTTTTTTTTTATTAAAATCAAATTAGAACAAATATAATTGAGTCGGATAATTTTGCCACGTGACACTTGTTACATAATTATTAAAGTAAAATATTGTTTTGGATTTTAAAATTTCTTTATTACTACATTACATGACACACCAATTGTTATTAATAAGAAAAGTTTGTAAAAAAAATTAAGCCTCATTTGACAATCTTGAAATAAATAATTTTTGCCAAAAAAGTTAAAAGCAAAACATTTGTATGGTTATGTTAAAAATATCAATTATTTTTGGAAATGTCAATCAGTGTGTTTGGTTTGAGTTTTCTGCATCAAGTTTTTTGAAAACTGAATTTTTTATTTTTCGTACTTTTTTGTTTTTAGTGAATATTTTTAAAATCTTAAACATTTTTTTTAGTTTTTTAGATACACCTTACTTAGATGTATCTAAAACGTAAAAAAATTGTGAAAAAATATTTTAAAAAATTAATAAATACATAAAAATATAAAAAATGTACTGAATTCTCTTCTTCTTTTTTTGTATTTTTGGTATTTAGTGAATTTTTAAAAGATTTTTTTTACAAATTTTTTACTTTTTAGGTATATTTATGTTAGGTATATCTAAAAATTAAAAAAAAAATTATTTAAAATATTAAAAAAATTCATTAAAAACAAAAAAATAAGAAAAATAAGAAAGTAAAATTTTCTGAAAGGGTATGGCTTATGTCTAGTCCGATCTCGGACTGGACCGTGTTGTTGGGCCCGTGGGGGCCCACTACGGGTCCCGTTTTGATAATCTGAACTGTTCAATGTGTAGAACTCGTTGAGTATTATATATTTATAAAAAATCACATTGATCGGATATCTATAGTTATGTGATCAAATCAGTTTCGTATTAAAAAAATTGGACGGTCAACAAATTAACCGTTGACAAAAAACTGTTTTGATTACATAGCTATCGATGTCCGATCAATGTAATTTTTTACAGGCGTATAGTATTCGACGAGTTCTACACATTGAACAGTTCAGATTATCAAAACGGGACTCGTGGTGGGCCCTCACGAGCCCAACAATACGGTCTAATCCAATCCCGGACTGGACAGAAGCCATACCCTTTCTGAAAATTATTTTCAAAAAAACGAAACCAAACAAGCTGAATACAATTTTACTCTGTACTTTGAGAAATTCTACCTTATCTTTTTAGCTATGTTATCAAAGACTCAACAATACTATAAAACTAATATGATAATTTCTCCCAAAAAAATAAAACTTCAAAAGAATGGCAAAACTTTTTTCATAACAAATAAATAATTTTCAAATATTTATCAAACTTATCAATTTTTTAAATTCTAAAAAAAATAATAAAATAAATGTCAAATTTAGAGCTAGTTTGAGAAGTGGATTTTTTAGCAATTTTTTAATTTTTTGATTAAAATATAAGCTGTGTTTGGGAAAGATCTTTTGACTTTCTTATTTTTTTTATATGAAAAATAGTACAAAAAGTAGAGTGAATAAATCTTCTTCTTTTTTTTTTGTATGAATTATTTTTTTAAAAAAATAACATTATAGCTTTCTGATTAATTTTTTTTCTCCAACGAATAACACCTAAAGCCTTTTGGTTTCAATTTTCATATAAAAAACTTAATAGTATGTTTGGTTTCAATTTTTTGAATTCAGTTTTCTAAAAATTAAATTTTTATTTTTCATTATTTTTTTATTTTTAGTGAATATTTTGAAAATTTTCAGCAATTTTTTTTTTTATTTTTCTAGATGCACCTTAATATCTAAATTGTAAAATATTTGTAAAAAAATATTTTAAAAAATTAATAAATACACCAAAATATGAAAAATGTACTGAATTTTTTTTCTCATATTTTTGGTATTTAGTGAATTTTTTTAAGATTTTTTTCACAAACATTATACTTTTTAAGTATATTTATGTTAGGTATGTCTAACAATTAAAAAAATTGTTTAAAATATTAAAAAAATTTAGTGAAAACAAAAAAATAAAATTTTCTGAAAAATGAATTCTAAACACTGAAACCAAATAGATTGATTGATTTTAGCTATAAAATTTTTAAAAACCATTAAAATTATTATTTTTTTATTACAAAAAGTCAAAAATATTACTTTAAAAAAATTTAATTTCTAAACAAGTCTTTAGCCTTCATTTGGAATGTGAGTTGACTTTTTAACTTTTTAACTATTAGTACAAGCTAAAAAGTTTCATTTGAGATATTTTTTTTACTTTTAAGAGAGAAAAAATAAAATGATTATGATTTAAATGTGGCATTTTTATTTTATTAACATTCTAATTTATTTTATCTTTTTATGAATATTTTAGCTCAAAATTTTTTTACCAAACATAACCTTAATTTTTTTGGTGTTTATTTTAAGACAAGTGGGTTTTTTTTTTTTTTTTTTTTTGAACTAGACAAATGGGTGCGGTCAATGAGCAATTTTTATATACAGATAAAATATATATCATATGATACTTTCTAGAGTATTATTATAAGGATAATGTTTGGAATCTCTCCTGAGAATGACCTCACATTCTTAAAGTGATCTTGATCCTTCATATATAGATATATGTAAGATCTATTTATATAGGTGTAAAATTTACATCATAAATTATTTAAATTTATAAAAATCAACAATGATAGGTGGCTTGAAAAAACATGATTCGAATGATTCGAAACATCCAAAACGACATCGTTTTAATATATTTGAGTCATTCAAACTACAAAATTTGAGCCACCAAACATTAACTGATAAAAATATTGTGAAAATCTTATGAGGTGGGGTCTCAATCATTACTCATCATTTATAATTTATAATGGATGAAAATTACTGCAGATAGTGCCCTATTCCTATACAAAACCTTTTCGAGGGCAAGAGAGGTTTCTTGTAAAAGCAACAAAAGAATATCTTCAATGGAGGTAAAGACACAGACCACATGTTCAACCCAATCTCAAAACTTTGAAAACATTTATTAAACTCACTCATACATTAATATATATATGTATATATATGTATGTATAGATAGATAGATAGATAGATACAACAACAACGAGGAGCTTCGAACTGTCTCACAATCACAACAAACAATTGATTTCCTTGACAAGCAAGCTTCGAGGTTTCTTAACCCACAGGCAATCGATTGCTTCACCTCCAACCCAAAAACTCATCCACATCACCATCATCATCATCGTTTCTCATCAACCCAAAACAAGCCCTAATTTGATCCTGTTTTGAGTCTGATCATTGGAATATCTATCTCATCTGAATTGATCGATTCTGATGAGTCACGATTTGGCAGCTCCGCCGACTTCGCTGGCGCCGGGATTTCGGTTCCATCCGACGGACGAGGAGTTGGTTCAGTACTACCTCAAGCGCAAGGCTTGTTCCAAGCCCTTCCGATTCGAAGCTGTCTCCGAAATCGATGTCTACAAATCTGAGCCCTGGGAACTTGCAGGTCTCTTCGATTGTTTCTTTGCATTTCTCTTTTTGTTTTTCTATTTTTTTGTGGATTGATTGCTTGTTTGTTTGTGCATTTTATGTCTTTTGGGTTTCAATTTTGAGGTCTTCCACCTCCAATTTTGTCATTCCTGTATCTGTTTGTTTCAATTGCAGCTTGAGGGTTTCAAGTCCAAGAATGAATATGATATTCATGAAAGAAAAAAAGAAAACAGAGAATAGATATATAGAAACTTGGGGAGAAAGAAAGATATCACTGTGTGTGTTCAGCATGTGTACATCTTCCAAGTTTTTTTTTTTTCTTCTTAAATTGTTGACCAATTTTTTGTTTATCTATGCATGGGGGTCTTATAGTCTAAATTTGTGATTCTTATATTTCCGTTGCGCCTTATATCTGCATATATGTAAAGTGTTTCTACTGATTTTCTTTGTTTATTGATGAATTTTTAGCTCTTTTGGATGCAATTATGTGTGTGTGTGTGTTTCCATTGATAAATTGCTTTATAATTTATGGGCTTTAGGTCTTTCAAGGCTAAAGAGCCGAGACCTAGAGTGGTACTTCTTTAGCCCTGTAGATAGAAAGTATGGTAATGGTTCTCGGTTGAATCGTGCAACTGGTAGAGGGTACTGGAAGGCAACTGGAAAGGATCGGTCTGTACGTCATAAGGGTCAGACGATTGGGATGAAAAAAACACTCGTGTTTCATAGCGGGCGAGCTCCTGACGGGAAGCGGACCAATTGGGTCATGCATGAGTACAGGCTTGTTGATGAAGATTTGGAGAGAGCTGGAGTGGCACAGGTGTGGATTGTGTTTGTTTGACCATGAATAAGTGCATATGTTTAACTTGTTTTGTTAGGGGATTTGAATCTCATTTGACATTTCTCGTGACTTGTTCCTATTTTTGTGCGGAGAAGGATGCATTTGTGCTGTGCAGAATTTTTCAAAAAAGTGGTTTAGGACCTCCAAATGGGGACCGATATGCTCCATTCATTGAGGAGGAATGGGACAATGATGTGTCAATGGTCGTCCCGGGAGAAGAGGCTGGGGATGAGATGGTAAATGGTGATGATGCAAATGTGGAAGGGAATAAGCTTGAGCAGGTTTGTGCTTCACCTGACTCTACCTCCACTGCATAAAAATCATATTTGGTATTATTTTACATGCAAGTTAAATCAAAGCACTAAATATCATCCAAGATGAACTGAAGCGACTAGGGAGTACATAATTACTCAATATTTATGTTCAAAACAATTTGCAACTTTCCCTATGTATAAAGCATGTTTTCTAACTTCTCCTGTTGGATCGCAAGAGGATAAGAGCTGCATTTTACATGACGTTAAGATGATTTAGAATTTCATCTTCAATTTATGAGAATGATTGAGCAAGTTGGTTGATAAACCTTCCAAATTGATTTATGGTATTGAATTGATGGGTTATGGAAGAAAAATAGTACTTATCAGAAAAAATGAGATAGGAGCAAAAAATTCGAACTTTTCTTCTCTCCTAAGGAATATATGTGTTTGTGTATATAACCTCAAGGGATTGGCCTAGTGGCAAGGCTTTAGATTTTGGGGGTGTGCTCCCTCCAAGGTTCAGGAATCAAAACTTCTTAGGTGCTAACAATTTTTTAAAACCATCGGACTAGGGGAAAACCCTTGAATTAACTGTGGTACATTTGTAGGAAACTTCTTGCTGAGAGCCTGTGCATCCCTAGGGATTAGTTGGGCTTTGATCCGGACATCCAAGTGGCAATCAAAAAAAAAAAAAATTGTGTTTGTGTGTATATGGAAATGTAGAATGGATTGCAAAAGAGTGAGTGAAAACTCTATTCATGTTTTCATAAAGTGCTTCATTTTTATTCTTCTTTGGCAAGAAACTTTTTTACTAATAAGTTGGTCTTAGGTATTCGTTCCTTATAAGAGATCTCTTTTTGGAGCTTTAGTATGGGGGAGAGGAAAAATCTTTTGGCACTTTAGGGTTAAACGGAAATTTATTTTTTGAACCTTTAGTTGATGACACTATAGCAATGGTTAGCTATAGTCAGGAAACTGCGACTACTAGAGTATGTTAAACAAAACAAGGATCAATTGAGGTAAAGGTGTAAACTAATGGGCAAGAGTATAGCTAAAGGCAACCTTCTTGTTATTATAGATATCTTTCCATAAAGAAAGGAAATTAAAGAGGATGTTGTTTTGGAATTAGAGGGACTGATGAATTGGAGGAGTTCTGAAATAAGGTAATGTGCTTGGAAAAACCTTAATAATTTACATTGAAAGTTAAATGAGTTGGTTAACCAATCCTCATGCGTTACATAGCTAAGTTTGTATGCTTATTTAGGTTAGAAAGCTTCTGACAAGTTTTTCCTATGTTATTTTTCTTTATTAGAAAAGAGTTTTCAATGAGTTAATGAAGTACATTTAGGATGATGTCCCATGTTGTATGTTGTTTGTAGATGATATTTAGTGGATGAAACTAAGGGGGGAGTTAACAATAAAAAGGAAATTTAGATAGAAGTACTTGAGTCAAGAGGGTTTAGAATGGGTAGAACTAAAATTGAATATATGAAATATAGCTTTAGTAATAATAGAAGTAGAAATAGTGGATAAATGAAGATTGAAAACCAAGAGATAATAAAGAGTGACTTTTTTTGTTACCTACATTCAATTATTAACAAGGATATTGAGGTTGGAGATGTGATCAATAAAATCAAAGTTGGTTGACTCAAGTGGATGAGTGTTGCTAGCATATTGGCCTTGTTTGGGAAGTTAGCTAATTTAGTTGGTTATTTGGCTTTTTGGCTATTTTAGCTTGGCTAAAAAAGTTGCGTTTGGAAAGTTGATTGGCTTTTTTTTTAGTTGATTTGATGATTGTGTGAGAAAAGTAAAATGATTATGGGTTGGATGTGACATTTTGTCTTATTGACTATTTTAGCCTATTTTGTATTTTAGTGGGCTATTTTAGTCGAACTCTCTTCCCAAACACCCCCATTATGTGATTGACATATACTAACAGAGGCGAATTTTGTAGAACAACTATAAGATTAACGATGTTTTATGAGACAAAATCTTGACTCTTGAGCAACTAAAAATTACACATTTTATGAAATTAGTGTAGTTGAGACGAGGATGCTTGGATGTGTGGTAAGATTAGAAAAAATATAATTAAAAATGAATATATTTGTGAAATTGTAAGAGTAGCACCTATGAAGTAATGACACTCCAAAACAGGTGCCGTGGCGGTGTCGGACATGATGGGGGACACATATCGGGCACACTCTAAATCTTGGTTTGGTTTTTTTTATTTTTATTTTTATTTGAACAGCAACAAGACAATTTTATTGAAATAAATGGTGAAAACAAGTGGAGGACAAGAAGTCCTCATACAAAGTCAAGAAATCAAAACTAAAAACCAAAGAAACAACAACTAAAACATAGTACAAATCCACCACTAGGTGTGACAAACAGGAGCCCAATTCCTAGGTAATAAAAAAAGCGGGTATATCTTTGAAAGGGGGAGACACACAAACCCAAACCGATGCGAGAAGCCTCACCCTATCCCACATAGCTTCAACCTCAGATTCCTTTTCATTAAAAGTCCTATCATTTCTTTCCAACCAAATGGTCCAAAAAATAGCAAAGATAATGCAAGACACAATATTTTGGCCTTCTTTGTGGGTCTTATAAGTTAATTGTTCAAGTATCTGATTATAAATCATAGTTCTAGTACAGTTGGGGGTTCTCATATGTCTATAAGTAGTAATATTTTGCTTTCTATTCAATAAAAAACAAATTGTAGAGAATTTTTAGCAATTTTCAAGCTCTTTTGGAATTGTATGTTGTAATTCTGACTCTCAAGTGTAAGAGAGATTTGGCCAAAGCCTGGTTATAAGATTTATTGTATAAGGACACACAAAGTTTCCTAGCTAAAATCCTCTAATATTATCGAAAATAATGTCTAACAAATATACCATGTGCATGAAACAAATTTTTGAAATTATTTCAAACTTTAAAATACCATAACTTTTTATCTAAATGTCCATTTTTTAAAAATATAATTGGTATTTTTTGAATTCTCTCATGGACATCTATTAAACAAGACCATGTTGAATATGAAATTCTAAAAGCAAATACATAGTGAAATTTCGCTGTGTTAGTGACATTTTATTGTGTGTCCAAACTTCTCTTTTTAATCAACAAAAAAACTTCTAAGAATTTTGCTATGAGTTCCACTCACAACGATTACAACATTCACCAATCTTTTACATCAAATTCTTTGCAATTTTAAATTTAAAAATCAAACGAAGTTAAGATAAAATAAACTTGCACCAAAAAGCACGAAATTAGTTCTACATGTTCCTAAATATATGTCTAACATGCGTATAAATTAATTTTGGAAAATTCAATTATGTTGATAGGATAAAAATAAAAATTTCTGTGTAGTGGTGAAATTTAAGTGTTGATATAGAAAAATAGCTCAACTAACTTACAATACAATGACGCCATTGCCATCACCACCAACCATTATTGCCACCACCACCACCACCACCATTCCCCCATTGATATACATTGCCATTTAGCGAAGTTCAAATGAAATTTCTCTGTGCATTGAAATTCAGTAAAATTTCATTGCTGAAATGAATATGACAAAACTGTTTTGATTGAGTGAAATAAGAGACACACATTACCTTGGTAGAACATAGGAAAACAGGAGAGACATTTCTCAAAGTTAATAATACTCACTAATCACATCAATATTCTTACTTTTGTGGTTCATAACTTATTGCATAGTGCACCAGTGCCTACAAGGCATGACAGCCTCTGTTAGAACAACCTCAATGTGATTGTTTAAATCTTTGTAAGGTTTTCCACACTTCTACTTCTACATTATTTTTGAATAACCTTGTCATCAGCCAAATCATCAATCTGTACACTATGGACCACCCCAAATCTGTGCAATCCACTTCTCTATCTCTAATATGTGAAAAGCTTTTCAATTTTTACCATACATCAAGGGCCACCCATCAATCTGTACACTCATCAAGGGCATGAACATGGGTTCTCATTGGATCCGCCACCTTCTGAGCAACTCTGATGTTACTGCATTTTGGATTGTTAAAGTTATATTTTTCCAAAAGTAAAACTTTATGTCATGCAGTTGACCAAATATCAAGGACCAAATGAGGTGGGCTTGAATAGAATGAATCCAAACAAGGACAAGAGAATGAATTGTGGTGTACTATATTCTACGAACCTCTATCTTGTTTTGTATATCAGCTTTGTGCCCATGGAAGAGGATAACTAAATCCTTGCGGGGTCGATCATCTTAATCAATACACATCAATCAATAATATACATCAATTTTTCTTACACAAACAAACCCACATAAGCTCTAGTTGCACTATTGCCATCCAAATTGACCTAATCTTAACTTCCTAAACCCAACACTGCAACATCAGATACAAACAAGGACCCCTATTGAAGGGTTTATTGTGCATGGTGCTTGGTGAAATGGGTAGAGGTCAGAAATTATTGGCGAAGACCATCAAATATTCAATTTTGGGTTTGTGTTTAGTGATACCGGAGGTGGTGGTGATGATGGGGATGAAATTGTGGGATCTTCAATTGGTGATGCAACAAATAAGGTGTAGACGGTGATGCCGTGTTGATGCAGAGAACTGTGAGTGGTGACAATAGTAGGAGGATTTGGTGGCCATGGGGTCAGGTGGTGCGGGGGATTTTGGTGGCCGGTGGTATGGGGGCTATGGTGGCCATAGGGTGAGGTAGTGACAATAGTGGGAGGGGATTTGGTGGCTGATGGTCATGGGGGCTATGGAGGCCATAGGGCGAGGCGATGGTGGTGGTGGTGGTGGTGGTGGTGGTGGTAGTGGGAGGCATTTTGGTGGCTAGGTAGGTGAGGTGGTGGCGATAGTGGGGTTTAGTGGCCATGTATAACAAAGGGGTGAGAGGTGATGAAGGAGAGGAGAGGAGAGAGATAAAGGGTAATATAGTAAATTTACTTATTCTGTTAACCCATCAGAAGACAAAACTCTGACACAGGATTTCATTTAATTAAACCTAAACCACAGGCGAGATCAATGTAATTTACTCAAAAATTAATTTTTGATTCGTTAATTAAACTATTTATCAGGGGGTCACTGGTTCAGTGGTTGAAACTCGGCCTACTAACCTTAAGGCTGTGGGTTTGAACCTAGATAAAATCCTGCCTACTTACCTTGACGTTGTGGGTTTGAACCTAAAAGTAGCCACTTTGTGCAAATTATGCTAAAGGTTTGGTCTGCATTCAATACTCCCATCAAATGAGGACTAAACTGGGTGTCGTTTTGTTTTTGTTTGTTTGTTTGTTTGTATTTTTATAATTATTTATCCTTCAAAAGTGATTCCAGCTGCAACATATCCTCGTGTTTCTAGTTACTGGTCTTTCTCATGATGTTGGTTGGGCCCTTGTCATAAAAAATATGATTCATTGTACATTACATAATGTATAAAAGCCCAGAAATAATGTGATAAAAACTGAAATCTACCCCCGCCTTGATCTCTCCTTTTTGTAGCCTATATTATTTCGTTAACAGCCATGCTATTCTAAGCCAAGATTGATGGTGATATCAAACCTTTAGATAGCTTCTGATTATTGGCTCATTGTTACAGGATACTCATTCCATCAAGGCCCCTCTGCATCTAGCTGAGCTTCCAAATGCTTCTCAAAACATTTCGCTTGTTTGCAAGAGGGAAAGGTCCGACGATTGTCCTTTTCCCTGTATGGATAATTCAGAACCCGTCTCTTTGGTCCAGAATAAAATGTCAAAGCATAATGATCCGAATTCTAGCCAGGCAAATGGTTCGGAAGATTCAACTACCACCACACAGGATCTTTTTGTATCTACAACAACAGCAACAACCACTACAACAAATTGTTCCTCAGCACTCTTAGAATTCCCGTTGTTTGAATCTATTGAACCCAAGGAAAATCATCCAAATAACACACTTACATTTGATGCTGCTAATCTTGAGAAATCTGTGCCTCCCGGCTATCTGAAATTCATCAGCAATTTGGAAACTGAGATCCTTAACGTTTCCATGGAGAGGGAGACGTTGAAGATTGAAGTGATGAGGGCCCAAGCCATGATTAACATTCTTCAAACGCGTATTGATCTTCTGAACAAGGAAAATGAGGACTTGAGAAGGGTTGTTCCCGATGTGTAGTTACTCCCGGCTATTATGTATTTTTTTTTTTTTTTTTGTAAAGGGGGGGGGGGGGTAGTTGTTAGCCTTAGCCATGATCGACTTTCTTCATACCCTTATTGATCTTCTGAAGAAGGAAATCAAAGGCTTAAAAAAGGGCTGCTTGAAATGTCCTAGCTATTTATGGAACTCATGTAATCTAAAATTGTAGTTCTTTCTTGTAATCTGAATCCTGAACGGATTGTTAAGTTTGTTTGAATAAAATGCTGTGCTTTTTGATCTTGATTATTGTTCTTGAGAAGTTGACATAGGTTTCCTAAATGTTGTAGATGTCTAACTCCATTATTCTAGGAAGTCTGTATGGGTATGATTGGAATATTTACAACTGGGGATGATTTGAGATTGTGCTATGGTGTGTAATGATCTAAATGCTGTTCGTTTACAGAATCTATCTTGGATTGATGGCACTAAAACTCAAGGGTTTTACTCCGGCAACAATTTGAACTCTTGGATTTTTAATTTTATCAATTAGAACATTTTACTTCTCACGTGATGACAATGTCAATCCTCCATCCATCAATTAAAACGTATTTATGTTTATGCTTGTTTGGCTCTTAAACCAGGGGTTATGACATTTTTGTCTTTGAGCAAACTTCATCATGTAACTTCCTCTCTTTGTTGTGTCTATTGTTGGGTAGAAAACTTTTATAACATTTTAGGGTAAAACTGTGGGCCTGTTTGGTAATGCCTTTGTTTTTTGTTTTTTGTTTTTTGTTTCTCTCTTCAAAAATTTTTAAATCTGTTTGGAGATCAATTTATTAAAATCCGAACCTAAAGCTATAACTGTCGATGCATTCAAATGGATTAACATTTTCAGAAAATGGCTATCTGAACATGCAGAACAGGGCATGTTTTTATGAACTTCTGCAGACAGTTCTAGAATATTTGCAATTCTGATATATGGGTTTGATCAAAGACAACCAAATGTAGTACTACTCAATATGAAATAGCCATACATGAATCCAATTGCATAACATGAATGGTTGTAATACAGTAATTGACCGTTCAGTGAATTGTTCTGTAAGACTTTGTTGCTTAAACAGGGTATATAGTACTTATTGCTTAATGCTTGTGAAACTCCAATTTGCTGGACATCATGCAGTAAGTCCTGTGGGGTTACAAATGAACTAAACTGTTCGTGAACTGGCTCGGTTTATTAAGAGCTCGGCTTGCTAAGGGCTCAGCTCGGCTCATTTAGCACATGAGCTCAAACTCAGCAAAGTTCGACTCATTTTATCTTTATTTAAATAAGATAAATAATAATAATAAAATCTTATCAAGCCGAGTTGTGCCAAACTTGAGTTTCATTAATATTGACGAGTCAAGCTCAAGCTTAGCAAAGCTTGGCTCTTCTTGTTTGTAGCCTTAACTCATACATACTAAGCTTATTGGGTTGACTCATTTCTTTTTTTTTATGATATGGTTAAAGAGATTTACAAAATGAGCAGTTCGAATAATTGAAATAGAATCAGTGATCCTTCAATCTTGGTTCGGACTAAAGGACCAGCCCTTAATGAAACTAGGGGTGCTCATGGGTTAGATTTGGGTGAATTATGTTATGATTTAGAAGTTTTGAATTCAGTTTGGATTTAGTTAGTTGTTTGATTGTTGGGGGTTAGTTAGTGGTTAGGAGGTTTGTTAGTTAGTTAGCATTGGATGTATATAGCTAAGGTTGAGAGGGGGAAAAGGGGGGATCTTTTGGACTGTAATCAAGTTGTATGAGAGAAGGGTGAATGAACTCCAAATTCAGTTTTCCATTCTCTCTTCTTTTTCTTCAATTGCTGCTTTCTTCTTTCATAGTCATATCAATTGGTATTAGAGCAAGGCTATTCTTGGCCTGCAAGAGAGATTCCACAGAAATGGCAGATGGAACTAGGGCACAAGAATAAAAAAAATCGATGAAGCAATACGAACTCTTAAAGACAGCAGCGATAAGCAAGCACAGGATATTAGAGAGATCAGAAATTCATTGAAAGATGTGAATGAAATCAAGGAATTGATTTTTGCCATGAATGTCAAGTATGATCAAATGGCAAATGGAGTTTTTGGAAATCATCCAGAAACCATAGAAGCTCAGGTTCGTTCGGATTCATCTCAATTATCTTTTTTTTTTTCAATACTAGATATGCAAGAATTGATTTTCCAAGATTTTTTGGGGAAGATGCCACTAGATGGTTGTATAAATGTGAGAGATTCTTCGATTATAACTCAGTTGAAAGTGCAAACAATGTGAAATTAGCTACTCTGCATTTAGAGGATAAGGCCCTTCAATGGTACCAATGGTTTGAGAAATGCCATCGCCAGATTAATTGGGATATGTTCAAACAAGGAATTATTTCTAGATTTGGGCCCAATTCTTATGAAGATGCAATGGGTGATCTGACCAAATTAAGGCAAATAATCACTGTGAAGGAATATTAGGAACAATTTGAGATTCTAGCAAATAAAACCAGTGAGTTACCAAAAGCTTTTTTCATTAGTTGTTTCATCAGTGGGTTAAGAGAAGACATTAAGGCAGGGGTGTTAATGTTCAGGCCTACTACCATAGTTTAGGCCATTGGATTGGCTAAAATGCAAGAGAATAGCATTGAAGCCATAACAAGAAGAACAAGACAATGGAATAGAGTAGGAGAATCTATTTTTTCCCATCAGGCCAAACAAAATCCATTTATGAATCCTATGAAGAAAGAACTACCAAAGGACTGGGAAGAAAAAAAGGCCAAAGGGTTATGTTCCAAATGCAATGAGAAGTATACAAGGAGCCATATCTGTAAAAAGAAGCAGTTATATGCTTTGGAGGTTGAACAAGAAGATCAAGAACAGGTGGAAGACGAGGGTGAAGATGTGGATGAAGACCAGATTCCAAAAAAGGAATTACAAATTTCTATCAATGCCTTGTCTGGCTCTATTTCCTATAGAACTATGAGGGTAAAAGGCAATGTCAAGAAAAAGCTAGTTATGATCCTAATAGACTCGGGAAGTACTCATAATTTCTTAAGTCTAGAAGTAATCAAGAGAGTTAGGATAATGGCCTCAGAGACAGACCAATTACCAGTTTCAGTTGCTGATGGAACCAAACTAATGAGCACAGCAATATGTAAAGGATTTCGGTGGGAAATGCAAGGTACGAATTTCAAGCTGGCATGAGGATTTTGCAACTCAAGGGCTGTGACATGGTTTTGGGGATTCAGTGGTTAGCAACATTGGGTCCAGTGAAAATGGGATTTCAAGAATTTGAGCATGGAGTTTCAGTTGAATGACAGAAGACATGTGCTAAGGGGAGGAAAGAAAGAAGAATTGACAGTCATTGGGGCTAATAAGATGAAAAAGATAATTCAGAAACAAGCACATGGAGTTGTAGCTCAGGTGTACTCTCTTCAAGCTGAATGTAATGAACAAGAGAATACATTGCCACCAGACTTGGAAGCATTATTGGCTGATTATGAAGATATTTTTCAAGAACCTAAGACCCTTCCTCCAACCAGAGCTCATGACCATTGCATACCATTGAAAACTGGGACAGAACCTATCAATATCAGGCCTTACATGTATCTCTATTTCCAAAAGACTGAGATTGAAAAACAGGTCAGCGAGATGTTAATTTTAGGAATTATTAGAACCAGTGTTAGTCTTTATTCTTCACCTATGCTATTAGATAAGAATAAAGATGGGAGTTGGAGAATGTGCATTGATTATTGAGCCTTAAATAAAGCTACTGTGAAGGATAAATTTCCTATTCCTACTATAGATGAACTCCTTGATGAATTGTGTGGTGCTAAGTACTTCTCTAAGCTGGATTTGAGATCTGGTTATCACCAGATAAGGGTAACTCCTACAGACATTTACAAAACTGCATTTAGAACCCATGATGGACATTATGAATTCATGGTAATGCCATTTGGGTTAACAAATGCCCCATCTACTTTTCAAAGCTTGATGAATGAAATTTTCAGGCCTCACTTAAGGAAATTCATCTTAGTATTTTTTGATGACATTTTAGTATATAATAGTACATGGACCAATCATTTGCATCATTTGCAAGCTACTTTGCAGTTGCTACGAGTTCACCAACTATTTGCCAAAAGGTCCAAGTGTGTGTTTGGTAAAGAGGAGGTAGAATACTTGGGGCATTTGGTTTCAGGAGAAGGGGTTTCTGCTAAACCAACCAAGATTACAGCTATGACTAGTTGGCCGGCACCTGCTACTTTAAAGTAACTAAGAGGATTTCTTGGCTTTACAGGATACTATAGACGGTTTGTTCAGGGCTATGGAAAAATTTGTTCTCCACTCAATCAATTACTCAAAAAGGATTCCTTCCAATGGAACTCAGAAGCTGTAGTGGCATTTGAACAGCATAAGGCAGTAATGACCACAATACCAGTTCTGGCTTTGCCTAATTATACTAAAGAATTTGTGGTGGAATCAGATGCATCGGGAAAAGGCTTAGGGGCTGTGCTAATGCAAGAAGGGCATCCGATAGCTTTTTGGAGTAAAGGCTTATTTGAGCGGGATTAACTTTTATCTACCTATGAAAAGGAATTAATGGCAGTAGTCTTGGCTGTACTCAAATGAAGGCATTACCTTTTAGGTAGGAAATTCCTTATCAGAACAGATCACCAAAGCTTAAAGTACCTATTGGAGCAAATGGTGGGCACCTGTACGGGGAGCAAATATTCCTCACTGTCCGTACTCCTTTCGTCCAAGTTCCGTGTCTATCCGATCAACCTGAAAGCACAACGGCGATGAGCTACCCGACGATGTGTTGCTAGAAACCCCTCCGACGGTCAAGTTAGCACACACTTAGAGAGAGAGAGAGAGAAACTCAATGAATGTAAGTTTATCTCACCAAATGATGTTCCATCCCTAGCATGGGGGGCGTAGTCATACTTATATACTTTCTGCGCTCAACTCTGCACCCATTGGTCTCTTGACACGTGGAGCTGCTCTCCCATCTGTCAGCACAAATCCAACAAACACCACCTAACCAAGCCGCCAGACAACATTACTGGGAACTCGGCAGCCCGGCAGCATCACCTCGGCTTCACACGACCGGGCTGCACAACGAGTCCCAGTGTCCACTCGCCGAGCTCCATAACAACCGAGCTTAGTAGTATTTTGGTAGAGCAGAGTTCCAAATAGGTCAAGTCGGCAAACAGAAAGCCTTTCCGCCGAGCTAAACGTGCGAACCATGGAACCCGGGTTGGCAGGTGACCAACTAGGCCGAG